TCTCTTTTGCAAATGCCTGCCTTTGCTCCGTAAAAGCATTATAAACCTTTATAAGCAAGATGTTCGAAGCTCTCATAAAAAGCTCCTAATGGAAGGGACATATGCTGGTCAAGTGGGAAACAATCTCCTGATCGAAAACCGAAGGGGGTTTCGAGATTATGCGTTTAAAATTAGTGAAGAGGCTCTTTTGTCTGAGTGATGGTGGTATTGTTTCTCTCAACCTAAACAGCTGTGGCAAGAATGGTGAAAACATGTAAGGGCATGTTGGTTGGAGATCTGAGGTAATGTTGGGAGTATAGGGCGTCCACATGTAAGCCACTTTTCTCTTCAAAATTGCAGTTCCAAGTGGAAGACGGTCTTAGGGTTATTTCAAGAAGGAATTATGGTGGAAAGACACTGCACCATGCAATGCATTCCATAGCTATTTCGACTTAGCAATCAAGAGGTGAAAATTGTCCACATCCTACCATGCTTTGGAAATTAGACCCTTTGAACATGGTTATCAAGGCTGGACTTTACCATCAGGTTCGACGAATCATTCTGCCGATAAGGACTTTGGTCAGTCCAATATATAAAGCAAAAATCTCATTGGTTGAAATTCCGTCAAAATCAATATTTGATCGATTTTGGCCAATAGGATCATCCAATTCTAACTGATTAGATTGGCTAAATAAAGTTAATAATTTTTTTTTAAAATATATTTCAGATTTTTTAAACTCTTAGTATTTTTGTTCTTAGGTTTTTAAAAAAATATGATCCAACCAATTTGACGGGTAGTCACTCTAGTTTTCATTGAACCAGACCTGAACCAAATTCGGTGCTCGAATTGTTGGAACTCCAATAATAGCTACATTATATCAAAACATGGGCACAATATAGAGATCTCCCCTTATGGGAACAAGACAGTGGAGCTTCAAATATCAGGGTTTGTTACAATGTTATTGCAGGTTCTGGTCTCCCCCTCCCCAATCCAACTGCCTTCTGGTTTGCTCAACCCAACTGCAAAGGCAGTATGAGTTTACGTGCGGCCAACGAAGTTGCCTGGCACACGTCTTGGTACAACCCTCCATTGATAACTTGCAAAGAAGAGACGAATCCATGAACTTCTGTAAGAAAACTTTGGGAGCCTGTCACCAATCTGTTGTTGTCAGGTCATCTCTCTGGTCCTTCCTACTAGATCAATTCAATCCACATAAAGTATGACACCCGCATCCATTTACTCGCCGTTAACTCAATGGTGCTCCCCCCTTTCTCCTGAGCAAGGAAGAACATGTGGAAAACATCCATTATAGCAACTTTATGTAACCATCGATCTCAACTTTTAGCCCCATTTTTCCTCAATTGTGCATATGATAAAAATACTAATACCTGTTCGTAAATCTTATTATGAATAAAAATCTTCATCAATAAACAGTCTTAAGAAACAGTATAATTTAAACATGTTTTTGGATGTTATTTTTAATTCTTCACCATATTTTTTAGCTAAAGAGGATTACGAGTCCAAAGCATAAATGCATTTGGGGTGATTAGCGATATCGCATATCATAAATCCATGAAAAATCCAAGGCGGGCCTATGCTGTTAAGAATGTACACTAAACTTTTTGTTTTTGTTTTTTTTTTTCCCCATTGGTCTTCAAGTTGATGAGGTTATTACATACATGAATTTGGGGTTTTAAAAGTACTCCAAGATCTAATTTTACCTTTGGGAGTGAATATACAGTGTACTCCTTTAAGAGCATATGTAAATTTGGAAAAATTTAAGGATCAAACCACCTTAAAAAATAGGAGGTACAATCATTTTAGTGAAAGACTGGAAATGGACCGCGCCAGCCTTGGCCCTAGCCTGTCCCATCCCATACAAGTACATAAAAGCCCTAGCCCAGGCCATGTCAGGGGTGGGCTGCGTTGGACTGGGCCAAATACAATCAAAGAACTGGGCCAAATACTTGTCAGGTGTGGGCTGGGTTGGACTGGGCCAAATACAATCAAAGAAAAACAAATTAAAGAAAAATAGGATTGGGTTGAGTGAGCCGGACCAGTCCTCTTGTGGCCTTGGCACTGGCTTGGTCCTCAGGCCACATTTTGAAGCACAAGCCCTAGTTTTTAAGGCCAAGCAAGGTAGCTTGGCCATTGCCAACCTTACTAAGGATAGTTACTTTCTAAGTCTTTATGTCAATCAAATACCTCTGAAAACATGTCAACTCAAGGTATAAAACATCCATTTTTAAAATCGATGTAAAGTTGTGCTCCTTCCTAATAGAAAAGAATCTAACGGTTCCAAAATTAAAAAAAAAATTTATTTTTAGTTTTTAATTTTTATGTATTAAGAGTTTCCGTGTTAGAGATTATATATATTTAAAAAATTAGCTCCAAAAACCATCTTAAAAATTGATAAAAAATAGCGGCCACATATCTACATATAATTCATAGGACTCGTCGAAACCCTGTCCTTGCATAGCTATGGTTACTTAAGTGGGTCGAATTCCCAAAAGGCTCGTTGCTTGTCTAGAGTTCGTATTCTTTAAACAAAGCCAATTTGATTATTTTTATGGAGAATATCATTTAAGGGGTAAAAAAAAACCCTTATAAAATCGTTAAGGGCATCTCAATAAATATAAGAGGACTTACTATCTAATTTTCATTTAAAAATAAGTTATTCAAAAAATATATTCAAATATACCAAAGTTGCCATTGTCCATAGTAAAAATCCTAGCAATAAGGAGCATTTTAGTAAATTGTCCTATATAAAATGCCACCACCAAATGAGAGGAGAGCCTTAGTTTGTCTGGGGTGGTTCAAATTACTAAAATGTTGGGGTGGTTCAAATTACTAAAATGCCTATGCTATTCAAGTTTGAAAGTAATATTAGGCATTTTTAAGTTATATTTTGGAGAGATACTATAGAGTTAAATAAAAACTGAAAAGTAGATACTTAACCTTTGGACCCCTTATTTATAAAAGTTTTAACCCCCTTTAAAAATATTTTTCCTTTATTTTTTCTAGAAAGGTAACCAGCTAAATGTCAAAATTGAGTAATCTTGGCACATTGAAGTGTTTTCGTTATGGAGAAAGTTTATATAAGGTTGAGGTCCTAAACATTTCAAATATTTAGTACAAGAAGTTATTTCGATGCTGAAAGTTTTTTAAATCGGATTATCTCGACCTTGAGATACATGTACATGAAAAAAAAGACTTCAAATCGTAAAATAGTGCATTTTGTAATACATTATACAAACTATCAATTTCTAAAATTCTCAAGTGTTCCTAGATCTGTTTGTTCTATACTACTTTTAAAGCTTAAAATTTTATAATTAGAGATGAAAATAAATTTTTAGGCCATCATAATATTTTTTGTGCTAAAACAAAATCTTTTGGCACTATTTGAAGACGCGTTTTACTTTGATTGTTTATAGCCTCGGCCTTACACAAACCACGCCCTTTCGTTATTACAAAGAAAACGCATTTTTTTTCTACTTTTCCCTCTTTCCATTCATCCGGGCTCAGCATTTACACGTGCAATATCCACGCCTTCCCTCAGTGGACTAGAGATGGTGGAGCTTCGATTGATCATCCGATGGCGTTGAAAACCTAATTTGCTTAAACTGCTCCATCCACAGAACTTCACTTTCGCAGAAATCCTACTGAAATTGCCGCCATGGCTGTGAAAGCGTAATTTAGCACTATCTATGTCTCCAACTGTTCCTTGGTAGCTGAGGTTTGAGGAAACAAACCTTATTTTGGCAAAAATCCTAACGTTGAGAAGCCCTGATTTATGCAATTTAATCTTCTATCAGCTGGAACAATGACGATCAGTGATTGTGGTTTTCTGATATCGGCTATATCTCTGGCTATTTTTTGCTTGCAATCACAAGTAGCGGCTTTGGACGCCTTTCGAAGAGATCCAGGGCATCCCCAGTGGCATCATAGTGCCTTTCATGATGTTAAGGAAGATATTCGATTTGATGTTCGTCGCATGCTTCATTCAAGAGCACAGGTACTGATCAGATATCACACTTGGTTTAATTTTGATCCTGCTATTTGAAAAATTCCATGATAATATCCAATTATTACTGGAAAAATTTCTTGATGTATTTGTGATTGTTTATGGATCCTCGTCTATTTTTACTTTGGCAATTGATTTCATGGAGCTAGGTATTTGAACAATCTGAAGCAATAAAATGTTTCTGTAGTATTACTCTAGGGTGGAGGCAACTTGGTATATTAGGTGATTTCTGATAAGTGTGATGAGACTATTATATTAAGTTGGAGAAATGCTTAGGATTCCTTTCTAGTAAATATCTCCCTCTAAATGATGAATGCCCTTATCCTTTTCTTTCTAGATTTTTTGCAACCGAATTGTTTAATACAATTGAGGTATTTACATATTAATTGTGTGGTTTGATGTAAATGCGTACTGAATTCAAGAGATCAAACCAGTCTACGGAGTTACTTGAGTTAGTATTTTGGAGAGTGGATCATTGGATTACAAACTAGAGGCTCCTTTCTGATTCTTCTGTTTAGATTTGTTTTTTTTGTTTTTGCATAAAGGAAATTACAGGTTTAGTAAAATATTGGAAGAGATGGATTTAAGATTTGAGGTTGGGCTTGATTGGTAAAGGTGCCAATGATTGTAACACTAATCCAAGTTCAAACCCACTGCTGAAGTGAAACCAACCCCCCCTTCTCTCAAGTCTCAAACCACCCAAAAATTAAAAAAAAATAAAAAAATGAAATAAAGATATGGATATACAGTCTCTCTAGAAACTCTCACTTGCCCTAAGTTCTCAGTAGAAAAATAGAAAGAATGATCTTGTTATTTTGATCCTCTGGATAAGTTGCTTGTCTAATGACACATGCATCAATCAATCAGTTCTAATTTTAGCCATTTGGGGTGTTTAAATCTTTTGGTTTGTGTTAGTGTTATCCTTTTTGAATTTGTATTGAGGAATCCTGCTTGTTTCTTATAAATGCTTTTTCATCCAATGCACAAACATATACACCTTCACTATTTATAGCCAAATCCTTAACCTAGATCAGTATAATTTCTTATGAATATTTTATCTATATTTTTATTTTAGCTTTTAACATGCAATCTGGTTAGTATGAGAGAAAAACTTCTATCCATCATTCTCTCTTGTTCAAACCAGATTTTGCACCACTGGACCAAAGGCCACGGGTTGCAATTTATTGCAAGACTGTTCCCCATTAGGGGAATAAACATTTTTTTTTATAGATATTGGTCTTGCTTTGAGATTTATTCATTGGTTCCTTTTAGCCATTGAATGATTCATTTATATTGAAATCGTTGTTATAAGAAAAAAATGTTTTCCTTTTGCATGATGCCCACGTTTTTACATATAAATTGGAGTGCATTTGAATGTTGGTTTTGGTGTTATGCAGGTCCCATTCCAAGTCCCACTAGACGTTAACATAGTCCTTATTGGTTTCAATGGTGATGGTGGCTATAGATATTCTCTTGACGCAAACAAATTGGAAGACTTTATGAAGAGCAACTTTCCAACACATAGGCCTGCGTGCCTAGAGACTGGTGAACCAATTGACATTGAGCACCATCTTTTCTATAAGACTTACCCTGTAAGATTACATTTATCATTTGGATTTTTTTTTATTTTTATTTTTTTTGAATATGAACATTGATAACTGAATGAAAAACAATGATGTTTAGGTGTGTCTACTTGTAGCTTCTGCATTAAGTCAAAGGAAATGAGACGTTAAGTTCAAAAGGCATGGTTTTTCTTTTTATGCTAACGTGGTCACGCCGTCTATGAAATACGATATGCATGCTCATCTACCATCTGCTTTTCCCTAGTGAACCAGATTACTATTGTCTTAGACAATTAACTTACTTCTATATTAGATTATGAATTTTTTTGGTTGGATTATATTTTACTTAAAATTTTTATAAATATCTCGTTATCTTTTGCATTTGTTGCCATGAAACTTGGATGGGGTATATTGTTGTATTTTTTATTGGATGTGGCTTGTATAAGGCTGAGGCCTAAACAATCAGAGTAAGGTGCACCTTCAAATAGTGTCGAAAGATGTCGTTTCAGTACCGAAAATCTTTATGATGGCTGATTTAAAATTTAAAGCTTCAAAAATAGTGTAGATCAAGCTGATCTATGAACACTTAAAAATCTTGAAAATTGATGGTCTAAATAATGCATTACTAGATGTACTATTTCCAAGATTCGAAGTCTTTTTTTTGTGTCCATGTATCTCAAGGTTGCGATGATCGAATTTGAGGGTTTTTCGGCATCAAAGCAACTTCTTCTAGTGAATTTTTGAGGTGTGCCTTCGTTTGATTGTTTAGGGCCTCAACCTTTTATAAACTTTTTCCTTTTTTATCAAGTGTACTTTTTGAGATGCATTGTACCATTTTCAAAGAGTAAATTGTGAGTTCCACTACTTTTTGTTGAAGATGAGTCCACCACAATAGAAAAGGCCCAAAATGATCCTCTGATATATCAATATGTTATATAAGTAATGTTTCATTAAAAGCATATAGTTCATAAATTTTCCACAATGATAATAAGGATTAGAATATTCACTTCCCTTTTTCTTGCCTTAATACTTTTCTTCTTATACGGATCAAGCATCCTTACTTTCATTTCTTCACATTTACACTTTCGCTCATCTAGGCCATGTAGTCCCTCTACTCCTAAGTATCGTATGGAGTAAGATTTAATAATCACCTATATTAGTTTTCATTTTTTGATTTCTCTTGAGATTCTCTGCCATCCTTGCCAGAATAAGGAAACAGACATATGGTAATCCATGATATGTTTCACAATAGATTTGATAAGCTCTTCCTCCAATAGATAGGAATTGGCTGTTCCACGACAGTATTTCACTTGTATTAGGAGATTAGTGGGATAACCTATATGCAGAGAAAGCCCAGTGTACTTCCAGGTAAAGCTTCAACTTTAATTTCTTCTAGAACTTAAATCTAATGGATGATATACCTCACAAGCCTGAGACTGTGGCATACTCCCAGCTCTCTTACACCTCCCTCCCTGCTACTGCCATATTTCCACTCAGCAACCATCATACCTTGTTCCCAAACTGCGAGTGCAACATATCCACTAATGCCTTATTACCATAAAAAATCTCTTGATCTCCTGTTCTCCCTCTACTTATGATCAACAATCATTTTCCCCATTTACTTGATGGAATCTGTAGTACCCACTGGTTCCTTGACATCGTATTCTCTTTGATTTTACCCCTGACTCATGAGCCAAAACAACCTGGATCTAGGCAAATAACATGAAGTACTAAGTTTCTAGTCAAGGTCAGCTTGCTTGCGAAAGACAGATATTGGCTCATCCATGGAATCTTTTCCAAAATTTATTATCATTCAGTCTTTTTCTTTTCTTTGGCTTTCCCACATCCAGAGGCTGCCTAAGTACTCGATCAGAAGTGCTTCTATATTGCACACCAAACTAGAGGCAAACTTCAACTGGGCATTGTGAACTTCAATCCCCATGACCAAGCATTCTCTCCAATTTATCCTTTGCTTAAAGTGATTTCAAAGTTTTATTTGAAGTGATTTTAAAGGTATGGAGCACCGAGGAAGATTCACAATCAACTCCAAAGACACTCCACTGAAGACCAAAGTGTTGCTTGCGAAGGGAAGATGAGTAACAATGTTTTTCCCCTGGGTCATGAAGAAGTCTTTAGTAATGCCCAACCTAGTTGTCCTTTGAGGGACTGGCGATTGCCCTCACTCTGATACTTTTTTGAAGTTTCTGAATGACATTTCTAGGGTAGAGGTGCAAAGCATTTCATAGATGATTCACTTTATGACATTTAGCATGCACAGAATGTATGGACATGGATAGGGAGAGATGGAAGAGATCAATGTTTAGGTGCAGCAGCGTATTGGGCTGCTTAACATTCAAAAAAGATAAAAGGAGCTTTTTGAACTGCTTGGGATTTGGTTGGGAGCTTTGTCTTACCCATGGCATTTGGTGGAGAGTGCCCTTCTATGCTATTTTTGTTTTCTTTATAAGATATTTATTTCTTATCGGAAAAAAGAGAAGTTGTCAATAGCAGATGCAGGATGTATTTCTTTTGGAGGGGTAGATCTGTTTGCATGATGGTGGTTCCAATTCTAGACCTTCCTCTTGCAACCAGGCATCTTACATTAGACCAAAAAGCCTGGTTGACCAGATGGGGTATCTGTTGTAATGCCTTGACCAGATTTTGCATTTTGTATCATCTATATCACTGAGTATTGCTTACTTTGACCTGTATGAGATTAAACATGTGAATTATTTTGTCACCTGTGTAAGAAAAAATTGCTTACTTTATCACAGTTTTTGTTTCTTATCACATGCTTTTCATTTTCCCATATTTGTGCGCAAATGCTTAACGGGAAAATGTGTTGATGCCAGGCAGGACAACCAGAATTAATCACCCTTGAGAAAGTAATGAAAGAGGCTATGGTTCCAGCAGGAGCTGCTAGGGAGGTAGGCTATGTTTGCGTTTTAGATAATAAACAACATGTAGTGATTCATGAAACTTTGGAGTCTCATATTTCTAGGATGCAACTCTGAATGTCTGCTTCTGTTTGCTATTAGAGTGAATATGGGAGGGAGGTTCCTCTATACGAGGTAGATGCAGCTGTTGTGGAGCCAACATTTCAGAAATTATATGACTTCATTTTTGATACAGACCATGGTGCATATTCTGCAGCTGAAATGGATAGGCCTGTACCAACTGCAATATTCCTTGTGAACTTTGACAAGGTATTCATCTTTCATCACATTGTCTTTCTACATTATATTTTTCTTATACTTGAGGACTATCTGGAGTTTCATATCTTGCTTATTCTAAACTATGTCGGAATGTTGATAGCTAGGAGCCTAGGAATCTTGTTATGTATTTTATTTCTCCAAAACTTGTGGAAATTTTCACCAGAAAAATTTAGTCTTGTTACTGCAACTTTTTAACTTGTTTAAAATGGAATCAGTTGTTGGTTTCCTCTTTCTAACCGCTAACAGAGAAATGTTCCATTGCTTTTACTTTTACAGGTTAGAATGGATCCTAGCAATAATGAAACCAACCTCGAGAATTTTATGTATGGCAAAATCAGTGAGCTCACAAGTGAAGAGTTGAAGAAACAGGAAGGAGGGTACATTTATCGCTACCGCTACCATGGAGGAGGGGCATCTCAAGTTTGGTTGGGTTCTAGCAGGTGAGTTTTACATGATTTCCAGAATGTGTAGAGTATTTGCAGATATCATAGTGCGTTACCAGTTTATAGCTGGGATAAGGCACGGATGATGATAATGATGTTCCATTACCAATTTGGAACAAAATTTTACATGTGAAGCTAGGAATCTTTAGAGTTAGACTATTGTAATGTAGTGTATATAAGTGGGTAATAAGAATCAAGTTAATGGATTCCATCTACTTAAATCTTTTTTAGTTGCCTTGGCTCCCAGTTTGTCTTGTGACTCTTGTCACCTGATAAGTTTTGCGAAATACTGAATCCAAGATTAAATTATTTAAAGCATTTAAAGCTACAAGATTTAAAGCTTCTTGTCTTTCTCATAAAGGAATTTTGAACTTATAACCAGAAAGAATAATCAGGGATATCCCTAGAAGTTCGAATAAGATTATAGATTCCCACTTAGATTTTGAAAAATTGAAAAATGAAGGTCTTTAAATAGGTAGTGTTCTCTGAACTGCTTGGCAAGATCTCTGGATGATATGGCCTATCTTGAGTGCTGAATCTATGTCAACTTTTTTATGTCTATATAGAAGTGAAGGGCAAGGGTAATAATTTTTTCATTCCCAAAGTTCCTGGGACTTACCGAGTGTTCTGTGTGGCAGCCTGGTCTTGGATCTGGATTGAGCTCTTTATTTTTTGTACACCTTGTTTTCCATGAATTTGTTATACATGTAAACTGAAGGACATGGGTCTGGTTTCCAAGCGGCTTATTGGTCCTCTGGCTGATGTTAATGGCGTCAGAAGTGGCTGCAACATTATGTTAAGTCCATTGGGACGTGTTTTGGACCAAATCCCATGAAATCATGGAGCCTCTGATATTTTCTTACATCATTAGAGTAAACCTAAATTTTTTATATCCCATTAATTTCCAAAACCCTAGAAATGGTGGTAGAAAGCTTCCGGAATCGATTTAAAATTATACTACACCCATTTCTTCTCTCTTGTGTAGTTTGGTTTTAAATTTGCTGGGGATGATCTTTTATTTTGCTGATTTTGTTTATGGATAGATTTCAATCAATTACAGATTTGAAATCTCATCAACCAGACTTTAAAATACATTTCCAAAATTGCACACTGATTTTGCAAGTTTCTCTACTTAATTCTGTTGATGAAAACCTGCTGGACTTGTGGATTATTAGCCTTAGTTATTTAAAGTGTCCTCCAAAATGCGTTTTAGAGGATTGCAATGGAAGATTAGTGAGTAGCTGATCTTAGGTTACTTCACATGGTCTCTGCATGCTCCGTACACATAAAACATGTGTTTGAAAGATTGGTGATTCTGTTGTGGTACATCTGAAATATTAGTAGGATATGGTCTTAAGAATCAAATTCTGAATTTGACCTTTTTTTTTTTTGAGAAGAATTCTGAATTTGACCTTAGATAAAAAACCAAAAAGAAGTTGAGCTGTTTTGATTTCCGGTTGTCATTTCATGCTTTTGTCTTTTGATAGGCCTTTTGTGTCTCTAATTTAAATCTAATCATACAAATTTGTAGAAAATATATTCCTGAATTCCCATACAATACAGTAATATTAGTTAACGAGCATTTTGCATGATGCCTCATTAAAGCTCTTCATAAAAGTATGTGGACAGCTAATGACCATATTGTGGATCGATTAAACTATTTTCTCTTGTTTATTTGCATCTAGACATAAGGAAAAGCTTTTTTATTTGCATTTCAGTTATCTTGAGATAAGCTTCTTGAGAGTCAATAATATGTTATGGAAGTTCTGGTAGTTTCATATGGTCACTTGTTTTTGTAGAATTTGAACCCTTAGTTACTGTTCAGTTTGTACATGGAGTTGCTATCCGGGTGTATAAATTTCTAGTCATATAAAAATTCACAAGAACTTCTTTCGTTTGGAAGTGAGTTATGTGGAAAACAAAGTATTATGTGTTATTGTAAGTTCTAACTTTTGTGTAACTAGTTTATGTTCCTTTTCTGTTTATGTGTGCATTAGCTCCTCGGATCTTAACATCTTAGTCAAAGTAAGTCGTGCTCTATAGATATGCTCCGAGCAAATGCCATTTCTGCACTCTAATTTATCCTCAAATTAATTATCAGTCTTTCCGGTTTCTCTATTACGTCTCTTTTGGAATCAGAGCCATACTTTTGGTTGCTGTTTCTTGATAGAATAAACATTGATTTTCTCTCTTCTTTTGTGTGCGGCCGATCTTTCTTTTGCTGAGTACATAAGTTCCTTCTCTCTAAATTCTATCAAAAAAGGTACTTCATCTGATCAGTTGTTATTCACTACTTTGACCAGAACTTGTGCAAGTTATTTTTTAGGTGATCATATCGCTGTGATATGATTTCTTTTGTTCAGTCAAACTTTATAGAGACTGCTACATCATCTATCCCTGTGTTGCCTTTTTCTTAGAATCTTGGCTGCTTGTTTCTTTTTTTGTTGCTTCAATGCAGATTTGTTGTCATTGATCTCTCTGCGGGCCCTTGCACGTATGGAAAAATAGAAACAGAGGAAGGAAGTGTCAGTTATAGAACAATCCCAAGATTGCGGAATTTATTATTACCAAGAGGCCATGATGCCGTGAGTGCTGCTTCTACACAGGATGCTTTCCTCGGGCAACTTGCAGCTTTGATTTCAATTACCATTGAGCATGTTATAGCTCCAGATGTGAGGTATGTTTCTGTGCCTTTTTTCTTATTTCGTAGGGCATATTTATTCTTTCTGTTTTTTTATCAAATTTCCTTCTGGAAATCATGTATACGTTTGTGATATGGGTAATATGTGAAGTTCCACAATACAACATGGTTGGATGCTTGCAGCATATTTAAATAAAAAATTGTTCACAGAGTCAAATTTATCAAAATCAGTAAATAAATAATGGTTTACACTTTGTGCGTCGCTTCCTTCAAATTTATCATCTGTCATCAATGTGGGAGTTGAAATTTTGAAGCAGATGATGATAAACACTTTTTACATAGTGACGTTGTTATGAGAAATGTTTTTGCTACTATGTCTCTAAATGAGGTAAGAAGGGAGCGAAGGGCGCCAATGTTACATGCTTAAATTCTCTAATTCAGCCTCTTTCTTGCGTTCAAACTTGGCTAAGAGATCTTTGCAATTTGCATTTACTTCTAATAACAGGAAAAACTTCCCTTTCTTAGGGAATGGTGCGTTGGACACTATCCCAGTATCACACAATACATTTCGGAAGTGATCATGAAGGATTAAACCCTGCTTACCTAGGCACTATGCAATGCCATGTAATTGACAATATCCTCAAGCTTTCCTTTCATGAATAAAATGTTTGTAATTAGAACCTCAGGATTAAACCCTGCTTACCTGGGCAGAGCAGGCATGACTGAGGAGCTCCTTTTGTTTGAAATAAAGTTCACGGGGGATTTGAGGAGCCTTCTGCCATCTTGTTGGAGAACAATGAAGGATCTGACAAAGAATTGATTACTGTTCAAAATTGAGCTACTATGCAGCCACCTTTACAATTGTCTAAATTGCAACCTTAGCACCCTTCCTTTAATTTGTCTGGCATTCTAACTGAGCACCATATGTCCTCACTAGTCTCCATTCTCTGCACAATTTACTTAACTGCACTTTGATTAGTGTTTCATACCAGCATACACCATTAAAACCTGTTAACATTTGATGCATTTGAGGAATGGTAATTTATTTGACAATCTTTATTCTGTTTCCATATGTTAGATGGTGGGTGCTCTCTGTTCTAGATCTAGTAAGGGCTTTTCGGCTTGCAGGACCTTTTACTTCCATTATTCATTGATGTTCTCATTTGTCAGAAAAAGACGTATTCATTGATACCAGAAAATTAGTATATTTCTCAGAAAATAATTTGTATAGCATTTTTGCAGGGTTACCGTTCATTGGTTTCTCTGAGAGTTTTGTGTTCTATTTAAAAGTTTTTTGAAATATCTTCTTTGATAAGAATAAAGAATATTGTTAAACAATGCATTTATTGATTGAATTATTTTTTGGTTATGCTATGTTGAAGTTTTTCTTTGATTAGTAAATAGGATACCCTTCCCATGTTGAATATGGCATTTTTGTTGTTCTACTGGTTTGGATGCAGGTTTGAAACTGTTGATCTAGCTACTCGGCTGCTTATACCTATAATTGTTCTCCAGAATCATAATCGCTATAATATCCTTGAAGGCGGGCATAACTATAGCATTGATATGCTGGCTATTGAAAGGGAGGTGAGATTTTCTGTGATGTGTTTTTATCTTTACTAATCGTTGTGATAATTTAATGGTAATAGTCTGATTGTAAAGAACTTTTACATTGTCTATGCCCCTTTCTTTTAACTCTCATTTATGTAGTCCCTTTTATTCTTTCAGAATAAAAGGTAGTCCTTTTTCATAGGTAGCTCTTATTGATGATAGTTGTGTTCACAATACTGAGGAATGCAACCTCTTCGTATATGGGCTTTTTTTTTTTTTTGTTCCAAATTTTGAACATTGAATCTGTACTCTGTGCCAACTGCTTTTATTGGTTAATACGATTGCATGATGCACCTACCTTTGCATATTCGTGAGGTGCAAGTCTGCTAGAGCTAGAGCTAGAGCTAGAGCTAGAGCTAGAGCTAGAGCTAGAGCAAAAGACTTGCTTTTCATGTCTGTAAGGAGAAGCCTCATTTCTGCCATTGCTTCTAATGATATATCATGTTTGGGCCCAATTCTACATCATTTCACCTGATATATGTTTGGTTTTGTGGTAACTATGTCTTTCTGGTTGTTTGAAACAGTTCTTATGTGTGTTATTAAATCTATGCATCCTTGAGGGTGCTTGGAACAGTTGTGGATGTATATATGTTGCTAAATCTATACACAACAAAGCATCATATATATAGAGAATTTTACAGTTCTACTCCATGGTCGTAAGCAGATATTTACTGGATATTCTTGGGATTATTGGCCCGTTTGGTGCCTTCTTTGAGCTTGTACATAGAGGAGCCCATGAAGTGTCTGATTTGTTGGGAAAGGATGGAGGGTCTCTAGGGTTTGGGGCTTTGGGTGTGAGGTATTTTCTTCCTTCTTTTGATGTTTGGTTAGCTGATATTTGAACCTTGGACTTTGTTGAATTGCGCTTACTCCTAATTGCCAGTACAATAGCCTGAACCCCTGTAGTGTCTCACTCTGAATGCTTTTGTTAGTGAGATATGTTAATGCGATGTTACAAAGTAGAAGTGCACTGTTGGTTTAGTCTTTGGCTCCTTAGAACACTAATACTATTTTAAGGGTTTGCCAAATTAGCTGCCTCAATGTCATCATCATCATCACCATCATCATCATCATCATCATCATCATCAGCAGCAGCAGCAGCAGAGCAACAACAACAGGGCCTTTTCCCAACTATTTGGGGTCCGCTACACGAATCTTTATCCACAATGGTGCTCTATCAAGGGCTATACCCTCAGTGAGGTCATAAGTCCCCATATCTTTTCTCATTACTTCCAACCATGGCCTTTTGGAGTTAACCCTTGCCTTTTTTTAACCTTCTACTAGAACCAACTGACACCTCCTTACATGTGTTGTACTGGGTTTGCTGCACATAGACAACCCACCTAAGTCTACTTTCTCTCATCTTACTGCCAATTTGAGCCACACCTAAGTTCTTCCGAATTTGTCCATTTCGAATTCTATCTCTTTTTGTCTTGCCGCTAGTCCATCTCAGTTACACTTATTCGATGGATATGTTGTTCTTGACCGCCCAACATTTTACCCCATAAAGCAGGGGTGGTCTCACAGCTGTCCTATAGAATTTCCCTTTTAGCTTCTTTGGTATGCGTCAATCGCATAAAACTCTGGTTGCATATCTCTACTTTGCCTATCGAACTCTAATTCTATATGTGATATTTTCCTCAATATCTCAATTTTCCTGGATTATTAACCCAAAACATCAGAAGTGTAGATTCAGGATACATGAAAAGTTTTGACAAAGTTTTATGTTGGTTGCTTACTTAACACAACTCACCTCCTTTATGCGGGTCTGGGACAAGTTAAGGGGAAGTTTAAGTTCCTCACCCTTCTTAGACCAAGAGAAGGTAGCCTAAATTGTGGGCATGAGTGGGTATATTGGGTATAACTGGTTGCGTGGCAGTCCTTTTGCATTTGCAGTTAGATCTGTTCCACCTTGTGCTGATAATTAGTGTTCAGTACGAGTATGATTTATCACTCAAATGCTTGTAGCTAATTCTAGAATCAAGTGTCCTCACCTTCTGGAATAGCAGTGATTAGGCAAAGAGTGCTGATCCTTATCACTCCTCTTTGGCCATAACCTTTTTTTTCTTTTGAGAATTATTTGACTTGTACTAGCTAAGATAAAGTTTGCTACCCACATTTCAGATGCTCGTTACATAGTCATCAAAAAGTTGGGTATAAACTGAACCCAAAGTAGAAAAAGTGGGATCTGCTGATCATCGATAAAGAATAAACAACATGATGCCTATGGCAGTGCTACAAACTGCAAAAACTGGTGGGATTAGAGGTGGGTCTCCCCATCGGTCCTTCTGCTGTGTCCTCGCTGGCCCAGGCATCAGCTGCATGATAGCTGCCAGACGTGTGTGAAGGTGATCCTCAACTGCCTGTGAAGATAAAAAATGAGGTTGAATAGGGAAAGCAATATCCATGGGCATTGAGCTCTTTGGAAGCCTAGAGCATGACATTCTTGGAGTCTCCCTTAAGCCCTTTACAGTGAGTGGCCTAGCAGTATTCCCTGTCTGGAATGATCTCAGCCATTGTTTAATCAACCATGCTGATATACCTAGAGCACAAAAAGAGGGTGTTCGATAACTGTCTCTAAGGATTGCTTCATGGGCAAACGGATCCTAGGTTGCTAAGGGAGCAGCTGTCAATATTGAGCTTGTTTGTTGGGTCCCATTCTGGTGGTCGCCACAGGCTCGTTCATTGGATGGGAATAGGGTTGAAGAGTAGGATATTCCTCCAATTGGTGAGGAAGTAGCTCCTGGAAAAATTGCAGAGCCCCTTGTTCTTTATGCCCAGAAAATGGTGGTCGACCTGATGAGGTCTCAAAGGGCCTGTACGCCCAATTCTTTTCTCCCAAAGATGCTGGGATTCCTTTTCCTCCAGATGGACCAAATTGTTGCGAGCAATGAGGCTCATTATACTTGAAGTCGCTCCCACAGGGTATGGAGGAGAGAGGAGAGCTTGGAACAGTTGCTGGTCAATACTTGATGTTGGCCATCCCCAGTCAATGGTTTGCACTAATCTGCCGACGGCTGGGACACAACCGCACAATTAAGAAAGAGGTGATCATTAGATTCTTCATTCTCATTGCACATAATCCATCTGTGTGTGAGGTGGAAGCTCTCCATTAGTCGTGATTCATGGTGAGAGTTCTATTAGATGGCACCAAGAAGTTGAATGCTGGAATTTTATGGAACAGGGACGTACCACACTAGTTGGTTATGATTGAATGGGCTCTCAGGGTTAAGGGCTTTGTAGAAGGATACTATGAACTTGCAGGAGTTTGTTGGGGCCCATATGATGCTGTCATGGTCTTCTCGTGGGAAGCAGTGGAGTTTGAGCATCTGGGCAATCTCCTGTGCCTCATTGTCATCAAGTGTGTTTCTAAAGGTTGGATTCCACCGTTCTGTTATTGGTGATCTTGAAACATGGGAAAGAGTTGCATTCGGGGTGGAAGCAATCCTCAAGACGTTTGGCCATCCCCGATTCAAGGTCTCCTGTATCCAAACATTCTTCCGAAAATGCACCTATCGAGATTCGACTTTGAATCTCATGTGCTCCATGAACTTGGAGCTGTCTGAAGCTATTACGGGCACCCGAGGCCTGGGCAGTGGTGAAGCTCTTGGGAACTATTGTGAATCATCCATGCAGTACTGGTGGCCGATTGCTGACTGCCAAAGTTGGTCCTGTTGGGTTGCAAATCTCCACCACCATTTATCCAAGAGAGCCAATTTAGCCACAATTTATTTATTGGTTAGGGCCTATTGTCTGTGCTTGTGTTGATTAAAATTGCAAATCAATGTGCAAAGAAATAGTATATGTCAAAATACCACTTCACCATTTTAAATGAAGGAAATTTGCTGATATGAAGCACAAAAGAGATTCGTGATTGACAGTTTGATGACGTGATTTAGAAAACTGCGTGTGATTCTACTAATGATATACTTGCTATTAGGACACTATACTATTATCTTCAGTTTACAGTTTACACAATACTTGGTTGAAAAGTTTGACGAATTTATCATTTCTTTTCCTCCTCTTTCTTATTTTATATGGTCAGTGATTTGGTTTAGGGATAAGAAAATTGTTGATATATGTAGCTTAGTTTAGGCTGCAATGATTTTTCTTATTTGTCTAATCTCATTCTTTGTCCAAGTTACCATGTTTTTTTTTATTGTCAATAATTTTATCATACTTTATATTTATCAGGTGAAAAAAATGGTTCATTCTGGCCAAGAAGTAGTTATTATTGGAGGTTCCCATGCACTTCATCTCCATGAAAAGCTAGCAATTGCTGTTTCTAAATCATTGCGTGGTCACTCAATTCAAGAGACGAAGAACGATGGTCGCTTCCATGTCCGCACAAGAACATATCTAGATGGTGCTATTCTCAAAGAAGTATGTGATGCTTTGTTGTCAACTTCATTGATAGAAATAATGATTTTATGCATATACTTTCTTTACAAAGTCTAGTTTCCATAAACAAAAAGTGAAAATCGTGCAAAAATTGGTGTTCACAAGACTTGATTTTCTATTCTTTCGCTGAAAGGTGAGCCTCTTTACTTGCATCCCTCCATATTTGGTGGAAAACCACCGTGAGATTGTTTCTTGAAATCCCACATTTCCTCCAAAGTGTTAAGCAACCTCTGCAGATTCATTTTTTCCTACTACTCCACGTTACAACTTCGCATGAATCACCTCCTGAATTTGCATCCAGTCAGGATGCATGCACCAAATTCGTGCAAGCAACACTCTCCTCTGCCTTGCTTAGAGTCATGTTGAGGAAGGGTCCTGAGAGAGTTAGTAGTGATCTTCCACTATGCTCACTTATTAGTCCGCCTACTCCAGATGATCTGGGTTCACTTCCATCGAAGTTCAGCATAGGCCACACTTCGGTTGGGGAACCCAATGTGCATATCCTGTCCAATGAGGTAAGGTGGTTCTCACTATGGATTGTCACTGTGTTTAAATGAAACATTCAAAAACCCCATAATTCTGTTCTCACCCTTTACCAGGAAATAATATTAGACTTGATCCATTAGGAAAGGGCCGTAACCCGGTGCTGGTCCTGCCTATGCAGGGTCCCGGGAGGGGCGAGCTGGAAACGGTCCTAACCTTTGGCTTTTTATGCACAAAGTGGCCGCTCTCAGGACTCGAGCCCGTGCTCTTGCGCTGGTTACCTAAGCCTTTTACCGTCACATCGAGTGACAACCCCTTATTAGACTTGATCCATTCTTTCATCCAAAATATACCATAATGAGTAGCCTTGAACAATTCACTATTTCTTTCTCGCCATATAAACCGAAAGAGCTTGTATAGCATGTACTACCATTGGAGCATATTGTACCCTTACTCCCTTAGGCAAAAGAGCTACTTAGGAGGACTTTTTCGATTTTAAATCGAGGGAAAGAACATAAGGGTTTTTATTTTTATTTTATTTATTTTATTTATTTTATTTTTATTTTGAGATTTGTTGCAAGATTTTGGTGGTTACATGCCCGAATTTTGGGGTCCCAAAAACACTTCAAGATAGGGTTTTACCCAGGGGAATGAATGGATGATATGCTCTAGGGGGGACGTTATGATATGCTCTAGGGGGGACGTTATAATCTTTTGGCATACCAAATAATGGTTAACTGCCACAGGATTAGACCAGATTTTGGGAGGGGTTGGGAGTACGATTGGCTGACTGATTAGTATGTCAATAGATTGTGGATTTGCCCGTGTAGACCAAACTACCTCTGACCATATCATTTTTGCTATCTTGCTACACATTGTGCATCTATTTGGTATAACCATACCCCTGTTGCAAAGGTATCTGTTATGATAACCTTATCCAAGGCAACCAACAATCCAAAAGCCTGCACTTGGGGGCATGGGGTAGGAGGGGTTTTGGGCGCTTGCTCCAAATTCTTTGAGATGAAGGGATGGTATCCCTTGTGGCAACCTGAATGAGTTCACCAGAAAAACGCATGTGCTTACAGATCGAAAATATTTGATCCTCGCATTTAGATGGGAAGAAGAAGGATGGTAATTCATTCAAGAGATTTATTGGTGCTCCAACTTCATCTTTCGAAATCTCTATGCAAATTGTTGTTCTACAATCCTTCCCTTCCCATGTCATTGACAATTTGTGCAACAGTACTACTCGGTTTTGCTCCTGATGCAAACATGCCTGGGAAGGTGTTTTTAATGGTTCCCCTATTCAATCACAGATCATGCAATTTGGTTCTCCTTCTGTTCCCCACCCATACCCTAGATGAAATTTTCTTTCACCTAATTGATACTTTTCGAGATTTCAGAAATATGAAACCCTCTGTCTTGCCTTCAGAAGCCACCCGTTTTCCTTTATCCCATATATTCAAGCCACAACACTTTGCCATAACTGGTTGGATCCATCCCTGAATCTCCAGAACCACTAACCCAATAGTGTTATGGTTGTATCGTTGATTCCGTACCCAAGCCTCCCTTACACTTTGACTTACAAACCTTTTCGCAGCTAGCTGAATGAGTTCTTTCCTTTCTGTCGAACCATTCCACATGAAGTTTTTGTAAGTTTCTCAAGATTCTTAACAATAGATATTAGGAGTGAGGATAGGGGCATTGATTAAATCAAGAGTTTGTTATGTAGATTTTAGCAGGGCTATTCCAAAAGATAGATATCAACTTCTCCTAACAATCCGACTTTCTAACAATTCTTTCTATTGTCGCATCCAGTGTTGAAAAAAAATTGGGGGATTCCATTTCGGCCTGAATCACTTGAGCTTATTAACATCTTTTGGAACCCGAACCAAACATATAAGAACTCACAGTGTTTAGCCAGTTCCCTATATTAATATTTTTTTGGTTGGATGCAAACGAGTTTTTGACAAACTTGGAAGAGTCTGTCGGACCTGACTCGGTCTCTGTACCCTAGCGAGTCCCACCAGACTCCTTGACATTCAACACTTATCGCATCCTTTTCAAATTTAAATGGTTTAACTCTACGTAGTGGTGGCCAAGATAAGTGCCGGGAAGTCTATCAGTACCATACCCTAGGGTTTTGCCAAGTCTACCAACTCACCCTCAGGAATTGCAATACCTAGTAACCTTATCTTATAGATGTTCATGCATTTTAGGCTCGAAATATTCTTTGCCAGAACTCGCACCAGCACCTCAGCATCTTGCCGCACACCCTCCAAGTTTGGACAAGTTTATACATATCAGGGGATCAAATATCGCCATTCTATGAGAAAGCCTCAACACCTAGATTATACTGGCTGGTGCAGTTTAGCAGTTCAAGTGGCAGTTTTACTGGAACCAAAGACTCTGAATGCCCGTATCAACTTTCTGTCCATTGAACTGGTTGTAGAAGTAATTATTTTGAGTGGCCATAAGTAAAGTTGAGTACTATAGTATATATAGCAGCCTTCTATAGTTCACTGAAACTGTTGTGCTGATGGAAATGATTCTACCCTTCTTGTCAGTTCACTAGAACAAGGGGATTATGCTTGCATCCATTACTTGTTGATAGAGCAATTATTTCTAGAAAGTTCATTTGAACTTACATTTACATTCTAGAGTTCATCCTTTGACACTTCTGGCTGATGTGAGGTTGAAGATTCAAGTAGCAATTTTTTTTTCTCCATTGGGGGTGTGTGGTGGAATCATTGCTATGTGTTGGTTTACCATCATCCCTTATTGACTCAGTAGTTGAGAGATTTAAATTACTGTTGCATTATAGGCCATGTTTGCCTTTTCATTTTAGCGTGCATGTTAGGTTTTTTAGATCCTAATGCCATGGCAGCTTATTTACCGTTTTCCTGCTATGCATCTGGATCAGAAGTTGTTGATATTTGACTCTGCGTGAAGATTTTATGAGGCAGTTGGCATGACACATGCACCTCATTCTGCTGAAGGAAATGTTAGTTCCTTCCATGCCAAAACACACAAAATTATCATCAAGTTGATCCTCTGAGTATCACCTTCTGATGCAGAAGAGATGAACCCATAATTCTTGTTGTTCCTTCTCGTTCAGGACCCCTTTAGTTATACTGATAAGCACCAGGATGAGAAGACCTCCTTATTTGTTTCTCTGCATGGTAGGTTCGTGCCCACCTTCTGTAAATCCCTTCTAAACCATGGTTACCATAATGGTTATCTAACTGTGTCTGGAAGTGGTCCCCGGACAAGAATCCTAATTTGTCGCTACCCTTCTTATCCTCAAAATGTGACTTGAAATGTTCCTTCTCACGCCAGGTCACTGTTTCACTTACACCAGATCTCTGCATGCCTGACTGCACATTCTCTTCCACCTATGCATCTGTCGCTGATTGGCTGATGATAATTTTGGGTATGTTGTAATACTGTCTTAATGTGATGTCATCTTCAGGAAATGGAACGTTCAGCTGATGTACTGGCTGCTGGTTTACTTGATGTTTCTGATCCTACACTCTCAAGCAAGTTTTTCCTTCGCCAGGTCTGTGCTACTTTTGATCCATATAGTTAAGAGTCTTTTTTTTATCCTCTGTTTGACATGTCATTTGGCTTATGCTATCAGTTATTACTTACTAGCTTTTATAGTGAATCATGCCCTTGCTGCATTGTCGATCTATAACTTTGAGTCATATTGTTTCCAGCATTGGATGGATGAAACAGATGATGGTCAGGACTCCATAATTAAACACCGTCCTCTTTGGGCAACTCACAGCCCTACGTATGCCAAGGAAAAGAAAATGGCAAGGAAAAAGCAAGGCAATCTGTATCGAACCTATGGGACTAGAGTAATTCCTGTGTGAGCATCATCATATCCTTGTGTACTTTTAACAAATTTATAGTTTAGCTATGTTCGTACACAGTTTGCACTGCTGTTTACTTTTCCTTAGTTGTTGTATCTGCCAAGTTTCCATTGAAAATATAGTTAATGATTTGCTTACAGAAATGCATGCAATGGCTTCACTTTTGTTACCTCCAATTAGATTACTTTTCGTAAAATGGCAAAATTTGTTCTCACAAGAAACTTCCTAGCTTTTCTGTAAGTTCTCTTGTATAATGTTGCGAGAAACTTCATGTATGATAAGGTTTATGTTTCATTAGACCATGATAATGAGAGGTTATAGAAGAGACATTCACAAAAACTCCTTGCAGATTAAGCATTGATGATCTTCGAATTTTAGCCGGTTCTTTGTGAGGCAAGTCACTATGGCTGCACACATAAGTTCAGTTTCCCTGATCCAGTTCTAAGCCTATTACAATTACTCATAATTCCTTGGAGACAAGCCAGGCCACATGGTTCACTGGTGAAGCTATTAAGGGCTAATTAATTGAACTTCCAATGCTATATCAGATGCTGTTTAAGTACTTGTACTTTTAACTTGCAAAACTGGCCTGTGGTGAACTCGAATGTACTACATTGACTCAAACCAGCAGGCGGTAATACCATGCCTACCGCGGCAAGTTAAAGGGATCATTTGTTGTTAAAGTTGCATTTCTAGTTGCCTGTGATGCGGCAATGGTGGCTGAATTTGTTTCACATATTTGATCCAATACTTGGTAATAACCAGACCTCTGCTCTGTTGCATACCATCATATGAATTGTGTGTTATGTGTATTTATCTTATGAGTGCATACAATCTAAAATATGCCAAGCATCGTTTACCATATCATAACTGTGGGGTTTGTCAGGTTCATGATGCCAGCATGTTAGGTCATTTATTTATTGTGCTAACAAATAACAGTGATTTAAATTGCGCTGTTGGCAGGTTCGTGCTGCTAACAAATAACAGTGATTTAAATTGCGCTTTTGGCAGGTTTGTGCTATCTTTGGCTGGAATGGATGTGGACCTCTTGATGGAGGATGAAAGTCTTGTTTGGGCAAGTAAGGATGTTGTGATTGTTCTTCAGCATGATGGTGATAAGATACCTCTCAGGTAACTAATCGTGTTTTCCTTTTTTATTTATTTGTCCTTCATTCTGCGAATAATTTGTACTATGCATGAAGCAAAACCAGACTTGTTATTGTCGCAAATAATTCATAAACCAAACTTGTCATTAGCGCAAATAATTCATTTCGATA